AAGCATAGCGAGCCTGGGGTCGGGGCAGCAAGTGTGGAGTGACAAGTGGCAGGTGTCCGTGCCTGTTGGGATGCATGGAGGTCTGGTACCTGAGGGTAAGGAGGGAAGACAGAGCACCCAGCTCAGCTCCTACTGCCGGCCCTTTCCTGCTACCCTACACTTCGCGTTAAAGGGGAAAAAACTCCATGGCTTACCCACTCAGCCTGGCACCTGCTGGAAATTCTCAAAATACTTTTACACGAGCGTTGGGAAGGAAGGCAGTTTAGTCGTCAGCCAAAAATAGGTATTTCTGAATGCCCAGAAAGACTTGAACGCTGAGCCTCCAAGGGTGTATGTGTCCACCGCGCTTATAACTGCATCATTCACAGTAGCGAAATGGTACAAACACCCCAGCGTCCATCGGGGTGCATGGATAAGAAAAACAGTGGTGTGCACATACAATGAAATATAACACAGCCTGAAAAAGGAAGAAAATTCAGACACATGCTAGGTACAACATGGATGAGCCTTGAATGTCATGCTAATCGAAGTACCCCAGGTGCAAAAGGGCAAATGTTGTCTGAGGCCACTTGTGTGAGGTCACTGGAGTAGCCCAATTTGGAGAGAAGAGCAATTGCCAGGAGCTGAGGGAAGGGAGGAAGGAGGAGTTAGTGTTGAACGGGTACACGGTTTGAGTTTTGCAGATTGAAAAGAGTTTTGGAAATTGGTTTTACAACAACATGAACGTACTTCGTGTGGAACTATATACTTCAGAATGGTAGAGATGGTACATTTTCTATTAATGTATATTTTACTACAATTAAAAATTGAATACATGAATTACTTGAAATGAAATACTCTCATGTTTTAAAACCTACAATTCAGGGACCTTGGTGGCTCAGTCCATTAAGCATCTGACTCTTGATTTCAGTTCAGATCATGATCCCAGGGTCGCAGGATCAAGGCCCCTATGGCATCATGCTCTGTGATGAGTGTGGAGATTCCTTGGGATTCTCGCTCTCTGTCTCTAAAGAAAAAAACCCACAAAACACTAATCCCTTCATTAATCATGTTTTTACTATTACCTGTTTCACATGTGAGCTCTTTAATCATGACCTTAATAGAAAAGTCACATTGCCGACCTTTCATTTTAATTTCAAATCATAACCTAGAGTTTAGTAAATAGTGTATTGCAGTCATTAAATGTCATAAATGGTAATATCCTTTTTGTTGTCATCTTGTAGCACTATGGGGACACTCCTGTGGCCCAGAACCACCCTCTATTATACTACTTGGGGACACAGTATCCTGAGATCTGACTTCCCTCAACAAAAGCATGGTGATTGTGCTTGCTCTCTGTGAATGCTAGAAGTATTTTCCAGCATCCTATTAATTTCTGTTTCTTAAAAAGGTTTGCTCCTTGCAAAGCAGTTATGGACCAGCAGAGGAGATCATATTAGCTTAAGTGCAACGTCAGAAGCAAGCACGTCAGTGCCCATCCACATATCCTGCTGCTGAGGGCGATCTAAGGTTCAGTAAGAAGCCCTTTCCCATCATAGTCTGAAGCACCTCAGCACCTTCAGTTTCTTAAAATGTCATTAACACTGTACCGCATGGAATCCTTGCTTGGTCAACAGGAGATGCAGAAATATCCGCTCCCAGGGCGACTGGGTGGCTCAGTCAGTTAAATGTCCGACTTTGGGTCATGTCATGATCTATCTTGCGGTTTGTGAGTTCGAGCCCCGTGTCGGGCTCTGTGCTGACAGCTCGGAGCCTGGAGCCTGCTTTGGAGTCTGTGTCTCCCCCTCTCTCTGCCCCTCCACTGCTCACCCTCTGTCTCTCAATAATAAATAAAACCATTAAAAAAAAGATTTGTTCCTGTGTTCAGATATATATTGAGGGCCTACTCTGTACTCCAGAGGCTGTGTTATATATAGTCTGCCGGTAGATGAACAAGTGGTGGTCAGGGACCACTAAAGAGATTCTAGGCTGTTCATTCTTTTCACCAAATATCAATGTGGAATCTTTTACAGAAGAAGTCGCCCTGTAGGTTATCTCTGTAGTCCAGCCTCAGCTTGGCACTCATGCGGTAATTCTTCCTACAACTTCCTGACGCCGTACCTGGCTTAATTGACTTCTCCTGGAGCAGACAGGTCACTGGTTAGCTGAGGGTTACAGCTTTTCCTCAGGCATTGGGCTAAGAATTACTTCTTTCTCTTTTCTGCCCTGGCTTCACATTCTGCCCGTGTGGAAAATACTGATTCTGTGTTTTTGGAGTACCCTCTAGTACTTCTAGAGGTGTAGATTAGAGAAAAGAATGCCCCCATGTGCTTCAGGAGGGTCAATAAATGCTTCGTGTGGAGAAGCTGGCCTTCGAGAAAGACCTTAGAGGGCTCAGAGATTGACCTTGCAGGATTACAGACGAAGAGGCTTTCTATGCAGGGCCCGGAAGCAAGAAGACATAGGGAAATTTTAAGATATGAGACTTTAACCTAATTATTCTTTAGAGAAAATATTGCGCAGGTATTTAAATGGCACAACCAGATTTTGTTCTTCCATAGGCCATGAAAAGCTGAAGATTTTTGAGTTTTTCATAGTTGGGTACCTTTTAAGAAGGTTAGACCACAGTAGAGGGCATGTTGGAAGTGAAGAAACCAATTAGGAAGCTTCGTGATGGGTTAGACCATTAGCATCTTAACCAAGGCAAGGGTACTTGGAAGGATCATGCCCCCCACATCCTCACCTATATGTGCTATTCTCATACTTCTCATTCTTCCAAGCTAATGTGTGATTTGGGTTTTTATCCTTTTCATTTGTTTCCTTGATTACTAATGAGAGTAGGCATTTTTTCATATGGTTATTAGTCACTCCTTCAGCCCAGTATTAACTATTTGTCTTTTTCTTGATTTGTAGGAGGCTTTTTCATTCATTCCAGCAACTAATCTTTTCTAAATATTTGCTTATATCTGTCTTCTCCCAGACTGTTCCTAATCCTTTATCCTTATTTATAATGTTTTTTTATATATATATATACAAAAAGTTTTTAATTTTGATGTCAGCCCTATAAATCATTTCTTTTAGGGCATATTCTGTTCTTACCTTATAAGAAATCCTTCCCTACCTCAAGATCATAAAGAGAGCTCCCAATGTTTTCTTCCAGTATTTAGAGTTTTAATTTCACAAGTTATGCCTTTGTTCTATTTTGGATTTATATGAGTGCCACTTGTGAGGTAGGAATCTAATTTTATTTCTCTCTAGTTGAACACCACTTGAATGGTCAGCCCTTTCCCTGTTCTGTGTCATTTGTACTATATACTGCCCCACACCTGCTGCGATATCCTTCTGGGTTCTTTCTTCTCTTCCATTGATTGATTCGTCTAGTCACATGCCAATTCCATATGGAATTAATTACCATAGTTTTGTAGTATGATTGATCTGGAAAGGCAAGTCCCTACCTTTGTTCTTGGAGTTTTATTTATCTTTGAAGTTATCTCACCTATCTATGCCATTACTCTTATGAATTTGAGGATTGATTGGCCAAGCATCCCAAAGTGCTCTTGGGATTTTTATTGGAATTGCATTGAGCTAATAGGGTAAGTTTGAGAGAACTGATATCTGTACAGTATTCTCATCTGTGAGCAAAGTACTTTTCTCCATTGATTTAAGCCATCTTTTATGTCCTTCAATGAAAGATTATAATGACTTGCACCACCATTTATTATTTGTTGAACCGTCTAATATTTAAGTTCCAGGCTATTGAACAACTCTATAGTAATAAAAACTATAGTAATGAAAAATACTTTTAAAAGCAGTTTTGATTGGGGTTCCTGGTTGGCTCAGTTGGTTAAGCCTCCGACTTCAGCTCAGGTCATGATCTCACTGTCCCTGAGTTTGAGCCCTGCGTCAGGCTCTGTGCTGACAACTCACGAGCATGGAGCCTGCTTCAGATTCTGTGTCTCCCTCTCTGTCTCTGCCCCTCCTCTACTTGTGCTCTGTGTCTGTCTCTCTCAAAAATAAAAAGCATGAAAAAAAATTTTAGTAAAATATAAAAGCAGTTTTGGGTTCTGCCAGATTGGTGAGGTAGAGCTAGCTTTTATTTTCTCCTATTGGATAACTCTCCTTCCTATTTATAACAGCAGTAATTTGTACAAATGTATGGTTTGTCATTGCCAAGCAAAGTTTTTGAGGCAAGCCATGAAAGACCTCTACCCCTCAGTGACATTCATTCCACCAGTGGGCACTTAGTCCAATAGCTGTGCACCAAACAGTAAATCCACGAACTGTACTGTATACTTGCTACCCACAATAAAATTACGAGTGATTTTGTCAAATGATTTGCCCAAATAAGAATCCCTTTATCTGTGGCATATTCCTTTTCTGTGAACCACTGTTTTTTTCTGAACATCACATTGAGGATTTTACCAGCAATCTGCATTCCAGTTTCCCATGCAGAATCATGGAAGATTGTTATTCTCCACACCCCACACTTATGTGTGTGTATCTAGCCTTCTTGGATTCTTTCCCAATCTCCATGATTTCTCATAATTCGCTGAAGTGACACTAGATTCAACCCCGATTTCTCAATAAAGTCATCACGACAACATTTATATCAAAATAGCAACCCACTCCTACACACAAAAAAAGTACTTGTATTTTAGTATTGCTGTGTTCTCTGTTGTATAACTCCGAGTTGAGTCGCACTTGAGCACCAGCTTTACGTATTTAGGAGACTCCCGTTCTGATGTACAAGACCATTAAAACTGTAGTATCAAGCACATCTTTTAAAACAGTGCAGTGGATAAAAATGATTAGATAAGCAGCCTTTGAGTTGGCTGAACCTCTAAAGCTTCTTGATACTTCTTCATAATTTAACGGTGATAGAAGGAGAAAAGAGTGTTTGTTTCGAATGCCATGGATGCTGAGAAGTGAATCTGATGGGAAATTTTAAGCAATTGTAAGCTTTCCCTCCATTCTTTATCCAGATTAACGTTAACAATTTTGTTGTCTTTGTGTCTCTCCAGCTTCCAATTGTAGAAAAGATAAGAACCATTGCACAGGCTGTATATGGAGCCAAAGATATTGAACTGTCTCCTGAGGCGCAATCCAAAATAGATCGTTACACGCAACAGGTAAGGGTTAGACTTTTAAGGGGAAAAAGTCCACCTGAGGCTCTTAAGATGCTCACTTTGACTTAAGGACTATTATTATTTCCCAGCTGAACTTGACCTAATCTACTAAGTCCACAAAGATTGAACTAATATCCTGGGGTAAGTAGAAGACTATAGCAAAGGTGTACACCCTCTGAAAGATACATCATTGACTTTTGTGGTTATAGATTGCCCGATATGGGTGATGTCACATCTGTGATGTGACGGTTCATCCCTCCCGCTCAGCCAGGAACATTAAAACTGGGATGGGTGGCGGTACAGTCAGACGTGGATGGCTCGTGATGCTGCTTCTTCCTTGCAGGGCTCTTACTACCTTCAGAATGTTACCACAGTGCCAGGCGAGGCGAGGGTAGTGCAACTCATAAGTTCTTGGTGTTCATTTTTTCTGCAAGTGGTTTGTTGGCTTGGCGCTAAGATTGCCCACCAGAGTTGAAGGTTCTGTCGTCTTCTAGAGAGTGACAAAGGCAAGTCAGCAAGCAGCTGCGAAAGTGGCTGGGAGCCAGCAGCTTGAGTCCTGTCCTATGATGATCCCCATGCATGGACTCCACTACAGCACGGTCAGCTTCCCTGACCAAACTGACCGTATACCTTGAATGCCCCCTCCACGTCGATGTGAGAGAAGTCAAAGCACTTCGAGAGCTGCCTACCAAAAGGGCTTCGTTATGAGTGTCATTGATCTAATCTTCTAAATTCCCAACTCCTAAATCCTATTTGTAAATCATATTTGGCTTTTTGATAAGAACTACCAGTGCCAGCCAGAGTATTCCCCCAGGTTGGGTAAGATAGTTAGCGACTCGTTTTTCTTAGAATTTTCCACATATGCCCTCAGCTTGTGCTTTTAAAAAATAAACAGTTCCCCCAAATTGCTCTATGCACCGGCGTTGTTCCGCAGTGAAATTTCACTTGTGTGAGATAAAACGAGTAAAGGAAGGCCGTTGTCATGCATCTCTTTTTTTTCATGAGTTTAAAATAATGTTTAAGGACCATTATTTATTCTAGTGTTCATTTTCGGTCTTAAAAACTTCTCTTTTATATGAACTAATATGCTATTAGTGTATACCATGTTGATTTTTTTCCTTGTTTTAATAGCTGGATGGCAAAATATTAAATCGGCAAACCTACATCAGTTCAAATTATTTCATTAGTTGAATGATCTCTGAAACCCAAAATTCTGGCCCCGGTTTCTATAGAGCAGTTGTGACTGTCCCCCAGCAAACTTCTGATCAATATATGAGACTATCCCAGCATTTGGAAAAAGGGTAGCCTCACCCTCCAATCGAAAGTATTCACAAATCTTCCAAATAGTTTGAAGTTGAATCATAAGAAATTCTGCATGTGTTACCTCTGAAGATTACATTCCTTTTATCCCTGTCGACTGAAGGAATATTCCTGAAAAGTTATGTGTCCAGTATGCGGTTGCCAATAATTAGCAAAGTCCCGAAAGAGACACTGTGTACCCTTTAATCAGAACCAGGCTGCGAGGACACTGTCCTTTTTGTGAGTCCCCGCATGTGACTTCCTGCCCTTTTTCACCTTTGGAACTCTGGGTCAGACATCGCCTTTGGTCCTTAAAAATAAGAGGCTTAGATAGTGACCTCATCTTAGTTCATATAATGTAATCACAGATCAAATAACCATGATTCATAAACCGGCACAAAGGGACCCTTTGCTTCCCGACAGCCGCCAAGAATGAGTGAACAACATGACAGAAAGCGTCATTACAGAGCCTTTCTCCGTTTTTACCTTTCTGAGTCCCGGATATCGATATCCTTGGAAATAGTTTCTGACAGCTGCCAGCTGCTTCTCCTTTGCCTGAAAATAGCCACGCTTTCCCCCAAACACACATATAATGATGCCTTCCTTAAAGAGAGTTCCCTGAAATAAATAACAGATACCTTCAACCACGTGATCAGCACGTGGCGATGACTTTTCTTCCCATCTTCTTGCCCAGTGAACAGGTAGGAACCAGCACCAGCCGTGTGCCAGGACCTGAGCCTCGGCGATCGTGTGGAATGCAAGTTGGACACATACAGGAGACTAACATCTGCGCTTAGTGAACACCTTTCCCTTCCTTTCTTCCAGGGATTTGGAAATCTGCCCATCTGCATGGCGAAGACTCACCTTTCTCTGTCTCACCAGCCTGACAAGAAGGGCGTACCCAGAGATTTCATCTTGCCCATTAGTGACGTCCGGGCCAGCATAGGTGCTGGGTTCATCTACCCTCTGGTCGGAACGGTGAGTGGGGAACCTTCCCCGGGCTGTGTCGTCCCGATGCCTTAAGTCCTTATGTTCTGCCAACACTTTGCAGATCAGGTGTTCGGAATTGTAATCGTATTTGCTATTTTTCTAGACATGCTCTTCTACCATATAAAACACCTTGCCATCATGGTTTGGATTTTTCTTTCTTTCTTTCTTTTAGATCATGTATTCAGGATCCCTTGAGTCATAAAACTGATTCCCCTCATAAAACACAGAAGAGAATAAGTTTGTAGAATTCAGTCTGATCTATTTAAATGGTGGAATGGCTTAGTATAGTGCGGCTGGACCTTTTTCACGTTATTGTACTCAAAATAATAGGATTTTATTCTAGTCAGATAATGGAGGGGCTGCTCGTTCCAGACACGACTGGCCCAGCACCTCTAAAGGGTGGGAAAATCCAGTTTTTTTGTCAGATATGCGGCTCCCTTGTTATGTAAACAAGGAACAGATAGGCCAAAAGTAGATTAAAAAGTTCAGAAGTTTTGCCTTGAGGTTTACACGTTTCCTCAAATATTGGACAAAATGTTTTCAATAAGCGTTTCCCGAATTCTCATTGCATGTGAGGCACCGCGATCCTCTGAGCAGTTTTGCGCAGCACAGAGGCAGCTAGAAAGGATGCCATGGCTGCTGAATGCCCTCAGCGCAGGGGCAGCGACAGCGCTTCCCCCTGAGGCGGATGAGGGAACAGGCTGTGTGGAGAAGAGTCGGGAATACTTCCTAAGAGCTCTGAGCTGGGGAGACAGTGACTTTCAAGTCAAGGGCACAAAAATGCATGATAGACCCGGCATGGGCCAGCGTGGCTGGGGAGTCTGGGACGTGGCAGGGGGTGATAGAAAGACGGGGAAGGCTCTGGCAGAGCTCGACTGCCATCGCTGGGAACTTGGGCTTTTCTGCTCTGCACCCCGAGGAGTCACTACAGCGCGGTTTCTGAGTCTGTTTGTTCGTTTCATTTTTACGAGAAGAAGAATGTGATCTGATTTTATTTTAGCAAAATAGCCGCGGTGGCAGATGGAGCGTGTTTAGAGACCCGAGAGCCAGACGTAACTGGTACGTCAGTCATTCAAACTAATATGTAGAGAGTGGCGAATGCGAGATGTATTTGAAGGGCAGCCACCTCCACGTGGGGCCAGGGAGGGACACTTGTGGCCTGACTGTGGATGGCGGTGCCGCGGCCACGGAAGGTACACGGGGAAGGCAGGTTGGCCGGGATGCGCAGGCCATGGACGTGGAGAAGTGGGAGGGTTCACAGGAGATGTAAAGGAGCATGCGGATCTGTTAGAAACGCAGGGGGCGCCTGGGTGGCTCAGTCAGTTAAGTGTCCGACTTTGGCTCAGGTCATGATCTCATGGTTCATGGGTTCAAGCCCCACATCAGATTCTTTGCTGACAGCTCAGAGCCTGCAGATTCTCTCTCCCTCTCTCTCTCTCTGCTCCTCCTTCTCTCTGAAAAATAGATAAATAAACATTTTTTAAAAATTGAAACACCCACATTTATGGAGCTATCCCGGGAGTCTGGGGGGAGACCCGGAGTCCCTAGGAGCCAGGGCGGTATCGGGCTGGGGGAGGGGTAGCAAGAGCGCTGGTATTGGAGAAGGGTTCAAATTTCATGGCTACTGGATGACATTTCCTGAGGGGAGGGTGGGGAGTAACTACAAAGGGGCCCAGGGGAGCTTCCTGGGGTGATGGAAATACTCTACATTTTGATTAGTGTGATTGTGGTGGTAGTTCCGTGACTGTATTGGTTTGTCAAAACTCATCGACCTACACCACCTAAATAAAAAGGATGGATTTTATCAAGTATAACTCAATTATACCTCAGCTAACCAAAACGGAGAGTGAGAAGAGTTTGCTCGATGCCCCTTAGAGTGGCCTCAATGATGGCAGCTCCCCAAGTGCTGAAAGTCTCCCGAGCTTGGGTCACTGAAGGCCTTTGCTTCAGGAACAGGAGCACAGCCGGGAGAGACAGGAACACGGGAGAAGAGGGGCCGTGGCCATGGGCGTCACTGAGGAGAAAGCCAGCCTCCCTCAGAATCGGCCCTGTCTTGCCCCTTACAGATTCAAAACCCCGCGGTAGCTCACGCAGCAAATTCATTCATTCATTCAGCCAGCCGACCAGCGTGCAGAAGGCACTGTGCTCAGTGCTCTGGGAACCCCAAAATAAAGCACTTTCCACTTCAGACAGCTGACAGCTGGTAGAAATAGCAGTGAATGAAAAAGAAACTGGTTTGGTATGAAAATTAGGAATCAGTCGAGGACACCTGGGCGGCTCAATCAGTTAAGCATCCGACTTCGGCTCAGGTCATGATCTCACTGTTCCTGAGTTCGAGCCCCGCGTCGGGCTCTGTGCTGACAGCTCAGAGCCTGGAGCCTGTTTCAGATTCTGTGTCTCCCTCTCTCTCTGCCCCTCCCCTGCTCACGCTCTCTCTCTCTCTCTCTCAAAAATAAACAAACATTAAAAAAGTTTTTTAAACAATGAGGAATCAATGATCACCTTAATAGCTCTGAGCACTTAACAGTCATTAAAAGTCATAGTGTAATTTAAAATCTGCGGACACTGAACAAATCGATGCTGTGGGTCTTCTCCCAACCCCAGCTGCCACCACATCCGCGTGTGTGACCAGTGCTGGGAAATCAGAATTCTGGAGCCCGCCGCGTGCGTGGGAACCCTGACGAATGACTAGTAGGAAACTGAATGTGTGGAATGGTGTTTGAGGGACGTCCCGAGAGCCCTGTGCCGCCCTGTGGCACCCCCACCTCTGGGCCACGCCGGCAACGTCAGGGAAACAGTCAAGTGTGAGGAGCCAGGAAGGAAGTAGTGCCTGACTAAAGAAGTTCCTGGAGGTCAGGAAATGGCCACGTGGAGGCGGTGGCCTTAGAGCCCGCTTTCTCTGACAGCGGGAAGTTGCGGGTGTAGCCGGGCAGAGGCACCGTCGGAGGCTAGGATGGCCTAATAAGGGCTGGTATTTACTTTTACTTGACCCCATTCTGGGCCCCGCTACAGTCTTTTGAAATGCTTCTAACATTCATCACCCTTGTGGGAGACACAGTGTAGTAATTTCCTGCTGAGATGACTGAGGGATAGGGAATGGGGACACCGGAGGGGCTGGTTCCTGCAGGTGGGAAAATTCTCGCATCCTGAGTCACTCTTACTCTTAATCCCGAAACGTGCTTAGTTGAGTCCTTTTTTTTTTCTCCAAAGTTTATTTATTTTTGAGAGAGGGACAGAGCAAGAGTGGAGGAGGGGCAGAGAGAGAGGGAGACACAGAATCTGAAGCAGGCTCCAGGCTCTAAGCTGTCAGCACAGAGCCCGATGCGGGGCTTGAACTCCCAAACCGTGGGATCATGACCTGACCCAAAGTCAGATGCTTAACTGACTTGAGCCACCCAGGCGCCCCCTGAGTACTTTTGAAATACATATCCATCTCTCAACTCCAGAAAGAAAGGCCAAACCGAGACCTCTAAATCAGAAAGCTTCTCAGTTTTTTCATAGTGTTTGTTCATTCATTTGTTCATTCATTCATTCATCCATCCGTACAACCACGTGGAGGCGAACAAGATCAAGTCCTTCCCTAATGGGCCTTCTGATGTACCCTAGTAAAAGACACCATACAAATACAGGAAGCCATAGGCTTTCTGACAAAGGAGAAACACCCTCTGGCTACGTAGTAGGTCCAAAAGTGGTGAATGTGAGTATTGGCAAGTCTGTCCTCAGACAATAAACATCTCCAGCCCTAAGAACTTTGAGCAATCATGTGGTGATGTGCTAGGGAATTCAGTTTCCCCCCTCCAGATTTAGCTTTGTAAATATTTACTGTTTAACCCCCTGTCTTTACTTATAGGCCAGAGGTTTGGTTTTTGGGTTTTTTTTACCATTTAATTACTTCATTTCATCATGTCCTATTTAGTTATTACACAATACAATAATAATTACAAATATCAGTAAGTGCTGTAGACACTTTACCAGTCCATTTCACTCCCAGTTGCTATCTGTGTAGACCCACCCAGGGCAAGGAGTACTTAGCTCGTTGACATTCGGCTCGTCTACCACTCTTCCATGCATTCAGTGTTTCCCCTCTTGCCGTAGTTAACTTCCCCTTCACAAAATCTCAGTCTTCATTCCTACTAAACACCATATTCTTGCTTCTCCTTAATGACATGGTTATAGATTATTTCTGGCGTAGTATTGAAAGCTACAAACAGTACAAGATGCCTGACCAGATTATCACTGCTTAGTGCATCTCTCTGTAAGACATTGTTTAGCAAAGACAGGTTCTTGATGTGGGAAGAAACAAGCAAATTACTTTCAAGATTTCCCTACCCTGCATTCTACAGATTACGCTGTTACGTTATATTTCCAAAATTCTTTCAAAGCTTATGGTTTATCGTGTTCTGTAAACCTAATAGCTTACTCAATTTCTCAAACAATCTTGTGCCAAAAGAAATTTAGTAGGTGGTCTTTCTCTTCTGGTCGCATTGTTTTGATGTTGTCTTTTAAGTTTCTATGATTTAAAAGGCTGTTTAATCATTTGGCATAAATTACATGACATAAAAGTTATTAGCACATAAGCAAAATATATGCCATGGTATTACTGAGAAGTGAATTACATCCTACATAGAAAAAAACTAGAAAGACACCAAAATGTGAACACTGGGCTGAGATAGTAGAAGGAGTTGGGTTTTTTTTTTCTTTTCTGCGTTTTTCAGTATCTGCATTGTGCATGGGTCCCTTTTATAGCATGCAAATACAATAAATAGGCAAGTGACAAACTGAAAGTCCTTGGGAAAAAAATGTTTAACTAGGGCCAGTCAGTCACCAGGGATTCAGAACTCTGCGCAGCAAGCGGAACCTGCCAGGTCGCATCGTCTGCCCGTCCCAGCTGCCTTGCAGTGTTTTAGCACCTGTAAAGGTGAGACCCTGAAAGCAGGACAGAAGAGCCAGATGTTGTCATAAGGAATGCACCCGAGGGGGCTGTGTCT